TCTAATCCGATTTTATGCTAATTAAAACTAATTAATAAGTTATCCTAGCAAGTATGAAATACAACAAGATAATGATCTAGGATAAGTAATATGAACAATGAGATATATCCTATATGATAAAAATATATGCAAGGATATATAAACTAACACAAGGGTGATATAATCAAACTACAAATGTGATAGGGTAAAATATACAAGAGTAATAGGCAATTGGCGATATAAGATAAATGCATAAGCAAATGTATTAATGACAAACTCAAACACACTCAAATGATTACGGAGTTCGGACCTTCCGTCCCACGTCTCCGCTCCCCACTCCCGGGGAGAAATCCACTATCACAATCCGGTTTGGAAGCCGTAACTTCTACACACTCGGTTTTCTAGCTAACCGAAAACTCTACAACTCACACTCTTGCAAACCCACTCTATCTAGCTAACCGAAAACTCTACAACTCACACTCTTGCAAACCCACTCTACACCCTCACAAGTGTTGAACTAGACATGTCTCCCTCAAGTGCTCAGATACAACCTCTCCCTAGGTTCGTCAACCGACGCCACTCCTCTTGGGACGATCACCGACTCTCGCCATACACATCTCTAGGTGTATAAGTGTATTACAAAGTGATCTCACAATTAAGCACAATACAAAGTGTTTGTTCTCTATAATGGATGAGAACGAATTATAAGCTCACTCTCTAAGTTACACAAACCCACGACCCAATTATACTATGAATGTAAATACAATAAGCTCAATGGTTGTGTATGTGTAAACAAAGAAAAAATAAAATCAACTAAACTCAATATGAACACTAGCTAAATAAAATAACAATCAAATAATATAAAATATAAAGCTAGATTGAGTTTAGAAAACTTTTCAATAGATCAAGAGTGGAAGGAGAAGAGTTGGATGCTCAAACACCAAATAGATAATCTCCTCAAGCTCTTGTGGAATTGATTCACAAAACCGATACACTCAAATGCTTAAAAACTTATAAACACACTTTAAACAAACTTAAACCCTTGATTAAAACTTTGTTAAACCTCTTGGATTACACATAAAAACTAAGGTATAAGGGGGTATTTATATGAAACCCCAAAGCCAAGAGAAAGCCAAGAAAAGACCAAAAAAATAGCTCAACAACAGCTCTGGAAACTAGCCGTTGGAGCAGATTTGGCAGTGCGGCGGTCGACCGCGAAGGTCATCAAAGTAGATAAAACTTCCAGAGAGTTTGACGGTCGACCGTGGTGGTCGATCGTGGGAATTTTCAGCTTGACGGTCGACCGTCACGGTCGACCGTAAAATTTTCTGTTGTCCACTAAGAGAAAAACATAGGTGCAATCGACTGTGGCGGTCGACCGCAAACTGATACAAAATATTTCAGCTTTGAAAGTAAAATGCTGATTTTAAAACCATGTTTAAAAATATCAAATAAATTCCAAAAAATGTAAACATGTGAATTTTGACATTTTGGCTAAAACATGTTTGGAAACTTTACAAAATGATTTTATATACTTGAAGAAAAATGTAAACTATTGTTATGAAATCTATAAACAATGAATATAGTATTTTCACAAATACAATAGAATATGAAACATATGAATATGTATATGAATATATTTTTGTTTCATATCTATGAAATTAAAGCAAACCAACTTATCCACATAAAAACAAACATTTATGAATATAAATATTTATTTATATGCTTGTAAAAACTTTGTTTGTGGATAAACCAAAATCCAAAATGTGTGTGTATATATATATATATAACTATATATATGTAAAACTAAAGTGCGTATGTGTGTATATGATATTGAGCTTAGAGTATCTAACACACATAATATAAACTCCTAAACTAATTATACCTAAGCTTGTGATCTTCAACGAAGCTCTATCTTGGTACACTTACAGATAAAGCTTGAACTTGGATCTTTAACTTGAAATGCAAGGCTTCACTCCACAATTCCGTCAACCTCCATTGGATATGATCGTGAATTCGTAATTCCATCCACCCTCCAACTCGTTGTTTGCCTAGAATAAATACGAAAACATAAACACTAGACAAACAACATTAGAAGTAAATTGTTTGTTAAACATCATCAAAACAAGAAGGCCAACAATTACTATTTGAATTGGGCTATCGTGCGGATTGTTCAAATCCATTATGCATGTGATGTTGTGCTAAAAGAATAAATTTCTTTTAGACTTAGCTCTTTATTTTTGAATACATAGACTTACTCATCCCTTGTGGGGTTCTCATAGGATTTTTGGCAAACCTTCAGCCATCAACGGGTTTGATGAGCCTTTACCGACTACCGTTTAAGTCGAGCTAGCATATGATTTGTTTAAGTCTGTTCCGCATGTAACATTGTGCTAAAAGAGTTAACTCTTTTAGTGCTATGATATTGAATACGTAGACTTTATTTTTCTCATGAGAATAGACTACCCGGCCGCATGTATCAGATGCAGACTCAGGATTTTTGGCAAATCCTCAGCCATCAATGGATTTGACGTGGCTTTACCGATTACCGTTTGAATCGGGCTTACATACGGATTGTTTAAGTCCATTCTGCATGTAACGTTGTGCTAAGAGAGTTAACTCTCTTAGTTCTACGATATTGAATACGTAGACTTCATATTTCTCATGGGAATAGACTACCCGGCAACGCGTGTTAGGAGCTGACTTATCCCTACTTAGGCTTCGGGATAAAAGTCCCTAGACTTGAATTCTGGTGTATTTTTCAATCGGTGAAAGACTAAACCGGCAACGATTGTTAGACGTAGGGTTATCTCTAATTAGAGATCGAGATAAAACCCAATGCTGGAGAGGAAGAATTTTATATTCTGTCCCTAGGTCTTGTTTATGGTAAAGACGAACCCAAAATGGAAGAGGAAGAATTTTATATTCTATCTCCTAAAACTAAAGAGGAGTAATTTTATATTCTATCTCCAGTTATAAAGGAAACTCGAGGTGGGGTCTCCACCCCCAGAATCCGGAAAGGTAAAACTAGGAGTGGGATCTTCACTCCTTGAATCGGAAAGATTTAAGCAACCCTAACTTTTATAGGATTGGTTGCTCAATCCAAGAAAATGATCCCTCATTTATTAAGGTGAAATTCCATTTTTGGCCCTAACTTTTATAGGTTTGGCTAAAATCGAAAAGATGGAAATTTCTCGTTTATCGAAAGGGGTAATCCAATCATGGCCCTAACTATCTATAGGTTTAACCAAGTGGGATTGGATGCAATCCTAACTTTTATAGGTTTGATTACTCAAATTGAAAGTGGACCTCTTATTCATGGAAGGAATCGGGAGGGGATTTTGGCTTTGGTCCTAACTTTTATAGGTTTGACCAAGTAAGCAGTGAGAGTGTATTATAGATAGCAGTGAAAATGCTGATTTGTACTAGCCACTCGATGGAAGATTTTGATGTCAAGTGATCAGGACTTAATATGTCAAGTTTGAAAATTACCAAAAATTGGAGAATAAAATTTTTGAGTTGACCCACAGTCAAATAATTTGATCAGTGGAGGTGCTGTGAGGAAAGATTGACTCATCAAAGTAGCCGAATCTCGTCTCAGCAAAAGTATTCATGAAGGTTGGTTAATCCAATATCAATAATAGGATACGTTCTAACTTTGAAAACATTCAGAGTCCAAGTGTGGATTTCTTATTTATCACTTTTGTAGTAAATGGGTTATCCCTAAGAATACTACACATAGAATTCTTTTGGGAACTTCCCGATATATGAGTTGTCTCGAATATACTAAGGGTAGTATTTTTTTGAGAAATTCCCATTTATCGGCATCATAAGCCGGGCGCCTTCCTTGGTGATAAGACGATATGCGCCGTTCGAATAAACTATCTCTACCACAAATGGTCCTTCCCATTTAGGTTTAAACTTACCTTTCTTCTTGGAATTAAGGATCTTTGGTCGTTGGACAGCTAATACCAAGTCCCCTTCTCTAAAACTCTTTTGTCGAACCTTTTTATCAAAAGCTCAGGAAATTCTGGATTGATAGAATTCAATGTGCTATTGGGCTTCTAAGCGCTTTTCATCAAGTATCTCGAGTTCTTCGAGACGTTTCTAGTGTTATTCTTTGGTCGTTATTTTTGTTGCAAGAGCAATCCGAAGAGACAGAATTTGGATCTCCAATGGAAGAACTGATTCACTCTCGTATACTAGAGAATAAGGAGTTGCTCCAGTAGGCGTGCGAACTGTGGTGCGATAGGCCCATAGAGCTTCACCGAGGTTATTAGTCTTGTTAAAGCTTCAGCCTACCCGTTTGCTATGGGATTGTAAGCTGTCAACAAGATGTCTTGAATTTTAAACTTCTCGCAAAATTTGATGAAGACATTACTGACAAACTAAGGACTGTTATCATGTATGATTCATCTTGGGACACCATATCGATAGATAATATGGTGTTTGATGAAAGCCACAACGTTGCTCGTCTTAACTTCTCTAAGCGGAATAGCTTCAGTCTATTTGGAGAAGTAATCAATAATTGCTAGGATGAATCGGTCGCCTTTGACCGACGGGGGAAAGATAGGACCCACGATGTCCATTCCCCAAGTTTCGAAAGGCCATGATGTAGCTGAAGGCTGTAGATGCTCCGGGGGTTGGTGCATATAATTCGCGTGAACTTGACACGTGTGACACTTTCGGTCATATGCGACTTCATCTTTGATCATGGTGGGCCAAAAATATCTCATCTTTCTGATGCGGTCGTAAAGATTGGGGCCAGGTTGGTGTGCGCCACAAACCACTTCATGCGTCTCCTTAAGGACTTCTTCTGCCACTTTAGTCGATAGGCAATATAGTAGTAAACCATCATACCCCCGACGATATAGTGTTCGACTCTCTATGCTATAGTAGAATCTCGGTGCTCTCCATCGGATTAAGTCTCTTTCCTTTACGTCTTTTGGTAAAATCCCATGTAGGACGTAGTGTATGATAGGGAAACACCAGTCTTGGGATTCGAACTCAACTTGGGTTAAATGCACTTACTTAATATCCTCTTCTCTGTCATCTACATCGTAGATTGGTACGAAGAGATGGTGAGTTCTTACCGTAACGAATTGTTCTATTTCGGGAGGTTGTGACAGAGATACTGCTAATGCTGCAAATGCATCCGCGTAGATGTTCAGTAAGCATGGAATGTATTTAATGAAGAATCCTTCAAACGATTCTTCCCTCTCAACGGACATCTTATGGTATGGTATCAAATCTTGATTTCTGACCTCATACTCTCCTTTAACTTGTTTAACTACCAGTTGAGAGTCATCGAAAGCTTGAAGGTACCCGACCCCCATCTCTTTAGCAAAGCTGAGTCTATTAAGCAGTGTGTTATACTCGGCTATGTTATTTGAGTAGGGCTCGGTCAGTGAGTAAGATCGAGGCATCACATGTTTTTTGGGGAAACTAAGACAACTCCGACTCTGGAGGAGACCTTAGAACATCCAGGAGCACTTGCTACGTTAGTTGCTCGAGAAGCACCGTCGAAGTACAAATGCCATACCTGTTGATGAGAAGTTACGTTGGCTTCGTGGGTTTCATCTGGCAGATCATCGTATACCTCGGCGGTATCCGTAGTTGGGTTAGCTGCCAGAAGATCACAAATAGCTTATCCTTTGATTGATTTCTATTGTTTAAAGTGCAGATCATACTAGGACAGAAGCAGAGCCTATTTTGCTAACCGCCAATTCATGAAAGTTGTCTGCATCATGAATACTCGGACTGGGTTAATGTTGGAGATGACATAAATAGTCTATCTAACTAAGTAATGTTGCATCTTTTGAATTGCGAACACCAAGGTGAGACACTCCCTCTTAATCATTGGATACCAAGATTCGGTGCCCACAAGGGTCCGACTTAGGTAATATACAGCATGTTTGTGACCATTGTCGTTATCTTGTGCAAGTAATGCACTTAACGAGTAGCTCGTCGCCTTGACATAAATCAAGAACAGTTTGCCTGATTTTGGTGCAATGAGTACATGGGGTTTCCAGAGATATTCTTTGATATCTTCAAACTCTTTTTGACAAGTGTCGTCCCATATGAATGATACACCTTTCTTTGTGAGTCTGAAGAATGGCTGACACTTTCCTGAAAGATTTGAAATAAACCGACGGATGTATGTTAACCGTCCTTATAACCCTCTGAGTTCTTTAAGGTTTCTCGGGAGTTACAATTCATTAATTTCCTTCACCTTATCAGGGTTAGTATGAATACCCTTGGAAGTGACAACGAATCCAAAGAATTTGCTGATGGATATTTCGAGGAAAGATTTAGTAGGATTCATCTTCAGTTGATGAGTTAGCATTAGGTCAAACATCGTCTTCAAGTCTTTGATGTGATCATTCTTGTTACGGCTCTTCACAACTAGATCATTCACATAGCATTCAATGATCTTTCGGAGATGCTCCTGAAAAATCTTTGACATAGCTCTTTGATATGTAGCACCTGCGTTCTTCAATCCGAAGGGCATAACTATGTAACAGAAGATACCGAGGGGTGTTCTGAACATGGTATGATTCTCATCATCTGGATACATCTTTATTTGATTGTAGCCAGAAAATCTGTCCATGTAAGACATTCTCTTGAACTCACACGTGTTGTCAATGATAACATCTGTGATGGGAAGAGGTAAGTCGTCCTTCGGGCATGCCGTGTTAAGATCTCTAAAATCGATGCAGATCCTTATCTTTCCATTCTTCTTAAGGACTGGGATAATATTAGCAAGCCACTCAGGGTGTTGCTCCTCCCTGACGAAACCCGAGTCAATAAGCTTTTTAACTTCGGACTCGATCGCTTCCATGATTTGTAGATGAAACCGTCTTTGCTGTTGTTTGACAGGTTTGACATCTGGCTTAATGTTGAGATGATGCATTGCCACATTAGGATCGAGCCCTTGTATATCCTCGTAGTTCCAAGCAACAACATCGATGTACTCTCTAATGAGGGTAATTAGCTCTTCTTTCTCATTTGGCGGGAGACTATCGCTAATGAATATCAGTTTTGGATTATCTTCATCACCCATATTCACTTGGATTACTTGGTCCTTGGTAGGGGATTCCCTTTGTTCAAACCTATCACTGTACTGCATATTCAGGTGGTGAACCTAAGGGTCTTCCTAAGTTTGTATTTGATCGTTTGCCTCAATGGTGACAGGATCATTTGTAGTCATGTGCGACATCAGTCTTTTGAACATTTCCCCAAGACTAGCATCGGAGTCCCAGGCTGAAGAATCAGAAGAATATCCGTCTTTACCCTTATTAGCTATTTGATTGATGACTTGCCAGCAGCACTCATCATCGGACGAGGAGACCTAGCCCAAACCTCTTCTGTAGCTATAATAATCATCGAGTTTTCCTTTTGGTACATAAGCCATATGAGGTGGAACTCGTGGACCTCGACCAAAACAAAGACCATCTCCGAGTGCGAAGTTATATCTGTATCTCTCCATGAGATTCCGTACTTTTATATCATATCTGAATAAATGAGGAGCTGGTTTATCATCATCATTCTCTTCTATCAAGAAATGATCTGGTACTAAAACTCCTTCCCTTTACCATAAACGACTTCTTTTCACCCCCTACCTTTGCGTGGACGACAAGTGTCATTCCGAATGAATACTGAACATGCTTCTTCATCATGCAATATGATTGAAGTGGCATATACAAGTCAGGGTCATCGTATAATCTCTTCATGATGTTATCAAGACACAATGAGTACTCTAAATCATCATTTATTGCTATTTCTTTGGCAAGTTGCCAATTATAACTATTATCCGATGATTCTCCATCGTCAAGATCGATTCAATTGGTACAATATCATTAAGTACAAAACCACCATCGTAATCAAACCTAGCCTCGGCATCAGCTTCTTCTCCGCTATCTGTACCTTGCGCCGATGGTTCAGTATCGGTTTCAGCACCATAGAGAAGGGAGTCAGTAAAATAATTTTCCAATCCCTTAAACGGTTGCTTATTTGCGACCATCAACTTGACCTCATTATTAGAGTCTACATATTTAAGACACTAATGGAGGTTATAAGGGACTATAACGTTACTGTGGATCCATGGTCGACCCAACAGTAAGTTATAGGAAGTCTCTGTGTCGATCACATAACATGTGACTTTCGACTTCAAGTCCCCAATCTGGCACTTCACTCGGATTTTATCTAGTGACTTGGACCGACTGGTATTGAATCCGTAGATCGTAGTGCCCGTGGAGGCCAGCTTACTGGCTGATATTCTGAGATTATACATCAATCGGAGTGGCATGATGCTAACAGAGAAACCCGGATCGACTTGGATCTAGTTGACAACGTTAGAGCTAATGTGCCCGGTGAAGTACAAGGGCCGGTCATGCTTTGAATTATTTATCTTCATGTCCTTCTTGATGAAAGAAATACAGGGAAAGTGGTGTGCCACGAGATTGTAATGTTGGACTGACGGCTCCAGTTCTTCAGGGGATGGCTTGATTTGAGTCAGGAAAACGTTAGAATTTACCAAGGCTTCTTGCAATGCTTCCCTCGTGTCTTTCGAAAGACGTAGCATCTTGTATAGAGTTATTCTGGCCGGTATAATGGCTAACTACGTCATAATATCGAAGCGGTATGAAGTGTTCGAGCTCCCCGGTTTATCTCTTCCAATCGGTTGATTGAATCGAGACTACTTCGAGTTCTGATCCTCTTGGTGTAAGGGTTCTTTCTCCTTTAGCTTTTGCTAAGTTTTGTCAACAGGTGCCAGGGGATTTGTGACTACTGTTATTTTCGCTAATGTTTTGGAGAGAATGGTTTTGGTTACCCCCTGCTTAGCTAACTGCTCGGAGGTGGTCGGATATTTAAAAGGGTATTCGTTTCCACTCCGGGTAGCAAAGACCGGTTCTCCGTTGGTCGCAAAGACTTCTTGCTCATCTTCGGAAAGCGAGAAGATCAGGGTGGACCCAGAGAATCTCGCCATTTGGGGCTGTGTGTGGCATAAGTCCTTTCTGGCATTATTCGTGAGGATCATCGTTGATGGTCTTCACCGTTACGTTCAATATGGTTTCGGGCTGAAACCAATTCAAAGGAACAGACCCAAAGCTGATTGACACTGCGTTCGCGCCCACCTTCTTTTCCTTAGACTATTTTATAGTAATGACCTCAACGTCGATCACCGCTTGGATCTTGTCTTTGAGGGCATAGCATGACTTGGTAGGCTGGTGAACCGTTCTATGGAACATGCAGTATTTTGGGTCATTAACCCTTTTAGCGTCTTCCCGATCTTGGATCGAAGGTAACTTAATCTTGTTGTTCTCTATGAGGTATTTGAAAATACCGAGAACTTTGTCTTCTTTAAAAGAGTAAATCTTCGAGAATTTCGGTTCTGAAGTCTTCGATTTCTGAGGTTGTTGTTGTCACCGTGATTGCTGAGGTGCCTTTTGCTACTGTTGTTGAGGTTGCGGTTGCACCTCGAATGTTTGATTCACGTCCACTACGTTTGCTTGTTCCTTTCCTTTGCCCTGGTGGACAAAATTCTGCTGTGGGGCATTAGTCGCTGTCTAACCTCTTTCGGCCTTCTTCCTTTTGAGGAAGTGTTTAACTTGTTCTCCTCGGACCTTCAAATCCTTCCAAGTCTTGGATGGCATCATTCCCATAGCTTTGAGGATATCCAGAGAAAGATTGTTGTGACAGGTTTCTAAGATGAAGTCCTCGCTGACTGGATCTCTATAATTCATAGCTTTGTTCTGGAATTGTTTGACGAAATTTTCGACCAACTCTCCATCCTTTTGCTTCTTATCGAATAACGTTCCGATTGAAACCTCAGTGTCGTCATCGAAGAAATTTGTGAGGAACATGTCTTCCATGTCATCCCAACTATTGATACTTCTCGACTTAAGATGGCGATACCAATCGAAGGCTGCTTCGCGAAGAGTGCCAACGAATGATCATACCATCAAAGGCTCATTTTCAGAGATTATTTCTAAATGAGACTTGAAGTATATTAAGTGCTAAGTGGGGGAACCCTTTCTGTCAAACGGCGTGAAGTTGATCAAATTAAACTTTGTCAGGTATGGGATTGATTCCCACTCTCTCGGGTAAGGACAGGGTATCTCGGACTTCTTTACTTCTTGAGCGCTCATCAACGCATTGATTTTGCTCTCCAAGTCCCACATCTTCTTATCCTCATTCGTATCTTTCTTCGAACGATTCCGGGGAGAAGTGACGTGGTCCTCCTTCATATTGTTATCATCCGAGGGACCACCCCGAGCATTGTTTTCAACGAGAGGGGTGTCCATGTTGGCATTCTCATCCGCTTCCCTTTCACTATCAGCTTGGTTAGGATTATTGCGATGGCTAGACTCTCCTTGCTGATTCGTCAGCGCCACAATTTGTTGGCTGTGCATGTCTCTCATCTCCTGCATAGCCATCTCCATCTCGAATTTAAAATTCTCTTTCTACTTGGCTAAAGCATCCTCGAGAATTTTAGCCATTTGTTCGGCATTAATCATGAATGATTCATAAGATTGCCTTGCACTGGATGTCGTATCATCAGAAGCCAACGCAGAGCAAGCATCTGACGTTTCGTCGTTAGAGGACTGTGACCTCCAGGGTCTAGATCTAATAGTTCCAGACCACAGTCAAGTCACACTGAGATACTTCTGCAAAAGGCTCAGAATTGAAGCATCGCGAGGACTTGCTTTGTCGGCCATGTTGATAGTTACTCGAGGGAACTCGTCACCTAAGCCGGTTAGCCTTCTTCTGTGAAAACGCATCGTCTTTTGTTCGAACGTTAGTAGAGATTCATTCAAATACTGAGACCCTCTAGGGATCAGTCTCGTGGTAGCTATATTCTAACAACATTGCCTTGATAATTTTCACACACGGACAATGAGAGTTCGTCTCTCGGACATTTCTCTTCCAAGACTTGTTTGTATTTGCCACCTGATAGTACAACTCATCAGTCTGATGACTGAAGCAACCTATCATGTGTTGGCATGGCTTCCTAGATATAATGTCGTCATCAGACGAACAAGTTTCCCTCTGTGGATATGATGCTTCATTAGAATCTCCAAGAGTCACTCATTCAGATTTAAGCCTTCGTGAGCGTGAAACTCTAACGAGCTTTTGTACTTCGACTTGTAATCCGATACGATCGGTCATAAGATCTTTTCCTTTATTATTATTGGGGGGATTACTATTACCCCCAGCCTGAATGGTTGTTTGGGAGCCTTTCAATGGTCTCAATCGCTCCTTAACAGGTGCTTTATCTTGATCTTCGGGGAGAGGACCAAGGCGGTCTTTCAGAGAAATTCTGGATTTGGTGAGGTCCAAACTACCAAGGGGAGTGGGATCCGAAGTTGATGAAGGTTGAATGGTAACTTCGTTTACTTTTGTCTTATGCTCTGATTTGACCGTTGGTATCCAAACCGATTTTGGCTTAGGTGATTTTTTAACCACCTCTTCCTTCTGCATTTTTCGTGCTTCTTGCACAAGGATTCAGGCTTGCGCTAGCAATGCGCGGTGCTTTTGGATTCACTCCTCAAGGGTAGAGTGGGTCCTCTTGACGCAGACCAATTTGTTCTTCTCTGCTTTAGATGAGGGGTTGCTCGATCATCATTGTTGTTCTTGGCGCTGCCCAGATTTCAGATCCATATCATAGCGGATCCCGTCCATTGGCTCTAAAGCCTTAGCAAGTTGACGCGTAAGGCGTTAAAGCCATCTTTGGTGCGCCCTCTTTGACAACGTTGGTTCATCTTCAGCGACTGACTCTTTAGTCAAGGAAGAGTTTAGATCTGCTAATCTAAATTCGTCGGATATTGGCGACACGTCGTGATTTACAACTGCAGCGGCGGCGACGCGGAGATCATCTTCTCGGGTCTTCATATCAGAAGACCAGCGGACTTTTCTAGATCTGTAGGAGAGGTGGATCTGGAGGAGGACAAGTATTCCTCAAACTTCTGCTGGTCAAACTCATATTCGACCTCTTCATTCACCAGGATCTTGATCGCTGGTTGCGGCACGACAGCTTCGGCAGCGAAGTTGTTGGCTCCTACTATGGTCGCCAGCTTGTTTAGGGAGAAAGTTGATATCATCATTGATGTATTCATTATAACTTCAGTCATTACAATAAAAGAAAAAAAAGATAGTCTTTTTATAATACTCTTACACAATAAAAATGAAAAAAATACAACCCTCGTAAAAACAAACACAACGAACGTTTATCCTCCGCTGCATGTGTGGGATCTTATCCTGTGACGGAGATGTTGATATCCGAAGACTACTAAATGATCAGATCAGATCTGGAGCTTTGTTGATTCGCGAAGGAATCAAGAAACCGAAGCAATTATCTAGGCAACAGTGAGATAATCATTCTTCTCGAGATTACCGCAACAGGGCAATCTTAAGGCAAAGAACCGGTAAGTGTATATCCGACGAGCTCCTCTTCTTTATGCTGACGAACTATCTCCTCCTCTCTTATGAAATTCATACTCCTTCAGTCTTCAGTTTAGCAGGGCTTCACCAACGCTCTATAATTCTAGATCTGAAAAAATAAAGGCCCTAGGGCTGTAAATATAGGCTTTGGGACCCTTGTTTTTAAATAAGAACGATTGATTCACTCTTATCTTCAGTTGTAACTATTTTATCACATTCTTGGATAGATTCAGATTAGTTGGAACAAATCCAGGTGGTTAATCATCGAAAAACAGCTTAAAACTGCTAAAAATCGATTTTCAGGGGTGTGGACACCCATGGGTGTCTCGGCTTGACTGAGACACTCATGGGGGACACTCATGGGTGTCTCGGCCATAGCCGAGACACCTGAGGGTGTCTCGCTGAGGCCTAGAGCATTTTTCTATGTGTCCTGTTCGTTTTCGTCATATTTTCATCGTCCGAACTCGGAATTGCAAGATTCAATATGCATTGGAAAGTTAACAAGAAGATCTACAATCTCTCATGGTTGAATCATATATAGAGTAGACGGGGCATGATGGGCACTTCGTCATTCGTGAGTGACGTGTAGCTCTTGATCAGTTCATGTTTTCATTATTCTGAAGTTTCGTTGCCTCACACGATTCGTCGACTCACTGCATGCGCTTGTCAGCGTTAAATAAGCTTCTGTGACTCAGATAGTGACATGCATCATCATCTCTCTATATCGAGCTATGTGTGGGAACCTATAGACATTTTTAGATGCCTACAGGCCAGACTCGCTTTTAAATCTCAAAATGCTAAGGTCAACCCTGCGTTTCAAGTTCAAAACACAGAGGTCCACCTCCAAGTTCTAGTAACAAAACACAAGTCTTGCTCGTTGATCAAAATTCAGAACTCATCGAAACAAGTTTTATGGTTCGGAGGTCCAACACTTACCACCGACGAAAGGAATCTGTGGCGATAGTGCAACTGCCTGAGCTGAGGCACCAACGGTAGTCGAAGCCATAGGTGCGCCTAAACTCACTGCAGAGGTTTTCTTTGATCGGGTTTTGGAAACAACCTTCTTAAGAGCTATGTGGATGATTTGTTGTAGGAGAAGATGAACAGTGCTCGCCAGATTTTAAATGAAAAACTTTCGTTGAAGAAGCTTGAACAGAAAGAGAGTCAGAAGACTCTTGATTTGACCTATAGATAGCTGGACCTGTCAAATCGGAATGACATTTGATGTAAAAATTCTGCCCAACCATGATTTCCACATTCACACTGAGTTGGTTTGACTCCTGAAATGCAAGGATCACCTCTACGTATCAGTTTTCAAAACACGAGGCTCAGCTCTGCGTTCCAAACTCTAATCACAAGATTCACTCCTGCGTTTCAAGTCCTAATTGTGTAGTTCACCTCTACATTTCAAATTTTAAACGCAAGGTTCACCTCTACGTTTTAAGACCTAAACGTGTGGTTCACCTTTGCGTTTCAAAATTCTAAAGCTTTGCAGCTAGTGTTTCTATGGTGACTTCGTAGCCCTTGGCTCTCTCTTACCCAACTCTTACAGCTACTCCTCACATGTTCATCCATGCCTACAAGGATGTTCTTGCTATTTCTATTGACACTAAACACACCTGCTCACAGGCTGAGAGTGAGTAGAAGTATCTCAAGGATCCAAGCAAGTGTGCTGATGTTCCTGCATCTAAGGAATAGAAAAAAGATGAGCTCACTGATGAGTCTAATGATGGTGACTTAGGTTTTAGCTTGTTTGACTAAGTTCTTTGTCATCAAGTCCCAAAAGATATCCTGTTTGGTTTAGGGTGTTTCAGTTACTTAAAAACCTATATGGTTTTTTTAGCTTTATGCATTACCTATGAGAGGCCAGGCTTCAGTACTAAAAAAACTAGCAATAGCCATCAAGGTGACAAAAGCCAAGAAGAAACTAACCTACGACAAGAAGCTATGCAGCATCTTGGATGAGTACAGACAAGTTCTAATCGTTGATACCAATCAGAAAGAGATTCCGTGGGGATTCAGCGATCCTCACGAGGAAGAACACCCCCTTCAAAAATGTTGAGTTAATCTTTACCAAGGGAGATCTAAAAAAAAGTTAGTGAGAAAGTCACTAAATACAATGTTGGAGCACCTGCTAGTATTAGGCTCGTGGCTCTCACTGATGTCGTCGTCTCTTATATTCTAAATGCGAGACTCATCTCCACATTTTAAAGCAACAAGGCCTATTTCTGCACTTCAGAAACAGGGCCATAGGCATCTTCATACTGATCTTGCGTGATTAGTGCTTGAAATCAAGTCCACAATGCGTTCAAAGTAGATGTAATGAACAATCACCCAACCAATCCAAAATCAAAATTAGAATCCAAAGTATTCCGAAATTTTGTTCCAGTCAACCGTGAACTTTCAAAAACTTTGGAGGGGGTTCTGTAGGCTTTCTAAAAATTACTACAGATGGATGATCTGTACCAAGCACTGATAATAGAAGTTACAAGTCGACGACTTCCAGAAAGCTATAATTTGGAGACTTTCATGACAATCAATGAAGGTTACAATTCAATGACCTTCACAAAACCAATGGAAGTTTTAATTCGACGGCCTTCACAATCATCAACAGGAGTTACAATTGACGACTCTCACGCTCCAAAAAGCCGAGATGAAGATCACAATCTTTGTAATGCTCTAACTAAAGAGACTACAAATCAATGGTCTCTTCAACTCAAAACGAAGAGCTCACCTCTGTGTTCCAAGAATAAGACGCAAAGCTCATTTCTACATTCCAAACAACAAAACGCAGGGCTCACCACTATATTTTTAGCCTCAAATGCGGAGCCCAACTCCGCGTCCTAAGTCTAGGACACAGAGTTCGTGCCCAGAACACAAATTTTGTGTTTGACTCGTTCAAACACAAGTTAAACGGTTCCAGAAACCATTTCCCACAATTTGAGGGGGATTCCATCCCATTTAGGAGCAATTTTAGGGTTAGTTACACCCCTTGATCCCCTAAAAAAGCTGAAAAATTAGCTAAAGTCAAAAAGGGATTTTCGGATCTTTTTGGGGAGATCGAACTTTTTATGGATCTTTTGGCAGATCTTCGACTAGAGCTTTTAGAGATCGGAATTTTCATCTTCTCTGGGAGCATTTTGTGAAAGCTTTGGAGCTTTCACCCTTAGCTTGTCAATTGAGTTTTGGTTAGATCAAATCAACTCTTTTACAGAGTTCTAAACTCATACCGAGTTCTCAAACTTGATTTGATTTATTAACTTGTTAAGAGTCACAAACTTGCCACGCAAGTTCTTCTCAATGTCAATTCGTAAGGAATCAACCAAGTTCCACGAGTTGAAGCATTTGGTTCATCAACGGGATACAAGATTCAAGCTCCTATCAACACCAAGAAGAACCTAGTTTTAAACAAAGGGGAGGGTTTCTGTTGATCCCTTCCTTCTTTTATAAATCAGGATACCGATAGAGAATAATTGTAATTTCTTTTTCTAGATCATTTAGAGAGAGATTACAGTGAAAGATTATATCTGTTCTTTTCTTAAGTTAGTTAGAGAGATAAATACAAATTTTATTCTCATTTCTTCTTCAATTTTCCTACGAATATCACTATCTTGGATGATCAGGCGATATGCACCGTTTGAGTAGACTGTCTCTACTACAAACGGTCCTTCCTATTTAGGTTGGAACTTACCTTTTTTTTTGGAATTGAGTATCATTGTTCGCCGGATAGCAAGAACTTAATCTCCTTCCTTAAAGCTCCATTGTCAGAATTTCTTGTCAAAGGCCTTGGAGATTCAGGCTAGGTAAAACTCAATTTGCTGCTGAGCTTCCAAGCGTTTCTCATCTAACGTCTCGAGTTCTTCGAGACGTTTCTGATATTGTTCCTCAGTCATCATCCTCGTTGCTAGGGCAACACAAAGAGATTGAATTTGGATTTCCAAGGGAAGGACTTCCTCGCATCCATATACTAGAGAATATAAGGTTGCTCCGATAGGTGTGCGAACTCTGGTGCGATAGTCCCAGAGGGCTTTGCCAAGTTTGTTATCCCAATCTCGCTTGTTTGTTCTTACGAGCTTCAACATGATCTTGATGATGGTCTTGTAGAAGGCCTCAGCCAAATCATTTGCGGTAGGATTGTAGGCCATCGTTGAGATGTCTTGAATTTTGAACTTTCCACAGAATTTGATGAAGGCGTTGCTGACAAACTAAGGGACGTTGTCATGCATGATTCGCATTGTAACACCGCATCGGTAGATAATATGGTGTTTGATGAACCTGACAACGTCGCTCATCTTTACTTCTTTGTGTTGAATTACCTCGGCCCACTTGGAAAAGTAGTCGGTGATTGCCAAAATAAAACGGTCACTTTAGCAGACGGAAGGAAAATAGGACCGATGACGTCCATTCCTCATGTCTCAAATGGACATGATGTGGCCGAAGGGTGCAGGTGCTCCTAAGGTTGATTCATGTAATTAGCACATATCTGACATGCGTGGCATCACCGAACATACACGACTGCGTCTTTGATTATGGTTGGCCAATAATATCCCATTCTTCTAAGATGATCACATAATCAAGGATCACGTTGGTGTGCATCACAGGTTCTATCATGTGCTTTTTTGAGAGCCTCCTCTGCTTCTTTGGTCGAAAGACATCGGAGTAACAAGCCATCATACACATGGATATAAAGTGTCTGAGTCGTTGCATTGTAGCAGAATCTTGGTGCTCTTCATCGTACTAAGTCTCTTTCTTTTAAGTCTTCCGGTAATATACCATGCAAGACATAATCAATAATCGGGAAACACCAATCTCGGGGTTCTAATCTGACTCTGGTCGCATGCACCTCTTTGATGTCCAAGGCGCGGTCTGGTATTAAGAATTGGTGAGTTCTTACAGTGATCAATTGTTCTATCTTGGAAAGTTGTGCTAGAGATACTAATAATGCCACCAGTGCATATGCGTAAGCGTTCTGTAGGCGTGGGATTTACTCGATGAAAAATTCTTCAAATGAGTCTGCTATCTCAATGGCTGTCTTGTGTTATGGGACCAGGTCTAAGTTCCTGACTTTGTAATCTCCTCGAACTTAGTTGATTATCAATTGAGAACCACCAAAAACTTCAAGATACTCGACCCCCAGCTCTTTGATGAAACTGAGTCTAATGAGCGGTGCATTATATTCGGCCACGTTGTTGGAACATGGATCGATCAGTGAATAGGCTCGATGCATCACGTGTTTCTCCGGGGAAACTAAGATGACTCCAACTCCTGAAGAGATTTTGGAACATCCAGGAGCGCTTGCTACATTAGTTGCTCGAGAGGTACCGTCGAAGTACAATTGCCATACCTATTGATGAAAGGTAGTGTTGACTTAGTGGATTTCATCCGAAAAATCTTCATATAATTCAGCTGTATCCTTTATAAGATTAACTGCTAGAAGATCACAAATTTCTTGTCCTTTTGTTGGCCTTCTTGTTTTGATGATGTTTAACAAACAATTTATTACTAATGTTGTTTGTCTAGTGTTTGTGCATTCCTATGTTTTGTAGACAAACAACGTTGTTGGAGGATGGATGGATTGCGCCATAACGATCATATCAAATGGAGGTTGGCGGAATTGTGGAGTGAAGCATCGTACAATTCAAGTTCAAGATCCAAGTTTAGCTTCATCCGCAACGTGTACCAAGTTGAGCTCAATGAAGATCAAGATCAAGCTTGGGTAATTTAGTATAGGTTTTTATTATGTGTGTTAGATACACTAAGCTCAATATAATATACACACACGTATTTGGTTTCTATGTATATATATAGTTATATATATACATGCATGGTTTTAGGTTTTCATGTTTTGGACATACTTGCAAAATACATGAGTTTTCACAAATGGAAATTCAATTTGAGAAATTCTTTTTCTAACATGTTTGTTTTCATGTTTATAAACATTTCGTAAAGTTTCATCAAGTTTGGAATTGATTTGTTATGTTTAATGGAATTTACAAAATCATGTTTTTCGTTCGTGCATGTTCGTGCATGTTTTACAAAATAGATGAGTTTTCATAAATGGGAAGTGATATTCAAGAAATTCTTTCTTTGACATGTTTATATACATGTTTAGAAACTTCCCTCAAACTTTTACTATTTTTAGAGTTGATTTACTGTGCCCAATTGATTTTACAAAATCGTATATGTTAACAGTTTTTTAGAAACTGTAAATTTGTGTTCAAATATTTATTTCTCTCAACTGGGAAAAAACTTTTTAGACATTCTTTCTCTGACATATTATTCTACATGTATATAACATTCCCACAAAATTTCATAATTTTTGGAGTTCATTTACTATTTTAAATTGATTTTACAAAATAGCTGCGTGCTGCTACAGTAACTCCGGTCGACCGTACCAGTCGACCGAAGTACTGTAGCAAAAACAAGTTTAATGAGTTTTGTTTAAGGGTTTAGTGTTTGTTTAAAAAGCTTTTAAGCATTTACAAGAGTTTGGTTTGTGGAGCAAAATTTCACAAGAACAAGTGGAGATCATCCTTGGTGTTTGAGCATTCATTCTTCTCCCTCTCTCTTGTCATCTATAGAGAAGTTTCCTTAAACTCAATTCTAGCATTTTATACGTTTGTTCTTAATTCATAAGCTATATTTCATATTGAGTTTATATTGTTTTATCTTTTTGTTCACACACAACCTATTGAGCTTATTGTATTTACATTCATAGTATAATTTAGGGTTGTGGGTTTGTGACTAAGAGTTGTGCTTAATTGAGTTCTCACCTTGTTTAGAGAACAATCAATTGATTTATATTGTGCTTAATTGTGAGGATTCACTTGTAATACACTTGTACACCGAGAGAAGTGTGTGGTGAGAGACGGGGTCGAATCCAAGAGGAGTGGCGTCGGTTGACGTGCCTAGGGAGAGGTTGTAACCGAGCACTTGAGAAGGAGGACACGGGCTAGGACCAACACTTAGTGTGTAAGGTGTGATTGCATAGTGATTGTATTGTGAGGTGTAAACGTTGTTCGGGTGAACGTAGAAAACCCGGTTGAGATAGTGGAGATCTCCTCGAGGTGAGGAGCGGAGACGTAGGTCGTGGGGACCGAACTCCGTAATCATATTGTTTGTTTGTGATTGCATTGGCGTTCTTATTCTTGTTTTCATATCTTATATCG